GTGACCCCTCCGATACGCTGAAAGGTGTCTTGGATATCATTCCAGTAGAAACTGAAAGTTGGATCATCAACTGAACCACTGGTAACATGGCTGTTATAAACTCTGTCTCTGAGGATCTTGATACGAGTGATATCAGCTGCTGGAGTGGTGTCTGTTACCAGAGGAAGGTCATCCTGGCCAGAGGCAGGGAGGGTCAGACCCCAGATATTCCTCAGAAGAAGCACCAGTAGGGAAGTGTCAAAATCCCTTCAGGAAACTGAAGATTTGAAAGCAGGATACAGTTTGCGCCACTGGGAGGTAACCAGGACTCTCTTCTTTCTCAGGGTTTGCAATTCTGCATGATTTCTGGGATTAGTCAGAACAGCGTAAAGGTTTCCTGGTGGACAGACCCTGTCAAATATCTCCCTTACTACACATGATCCAACATCGACAAGGAGGCGACACAACTTAGCATAATTTGAGGTTTCTTTGGTAGAAAGATTTTCTGGAGTGACAGAAGCCATGAAGACATACCTCCTAGGAGGAAATGCATCCATTTATTAAAGGTGAGATTAAAAAATACAAACTGTAACAAAGCTGTTATGATTGTAAATCGAAAAAGGTAAAATTAATACCAAACGTCATTCTGCAAAATAGGCTTAGAGTATCACTATTTCATGACAAACGCGAAATTTTCGATAACTTTCCAGCACTGGAATGTGGCCGATTGAATTCTTTAAAACGGAATATAACCAGTGAGTCAAGGTTGAAAAATAAAGAGAAATCAAGTCTATAACTCAGAGCCACAAATTATACGAACACGTCTCCAACATACAGGAACTGCCGACCGAGGCACTAAGCCACGGGTTTATGCGATTTTGTTTAAAAACACAAATTTCCTCGCTTGTAGTTACAGGAATCAAGCTGGAAAATGAGTGATTCATGAATTACTTTACCTTGACAAGAATCAACTGCCCAGAAACGTTTTATAGGTCTCTCAAAGTAGAGATCAACTACAGCCAACTCGAACAACAGCCATGTTTAGACTTAGCAAACAGACTAGTTACCAGTCCTAGTTGGCAAATGTGAAGGAGACACTGGGAGATATGACTCCCGTGCACACTTGATTGCGTTGCATCATGGTTGTAAAACAAAGATTGAGTTATTTGCATCTTGACGCTTTGGAGTTTACTTCTTTGGTGGCAGCGAGATAGCGTGAATATACGTGGATTGTAATGGGGATTCACTGTCTGTTGCCGTTCCTTCGAAAGTTAAAACGTTTGACGGGCCAGCACGACTTCCGTCATTCCTCAGTGACGATTTCGTTCTCAATCTGCCTAGAATCTCGACACAAATGGCAACAGTTACACTCGCAACCGATGGCGGGATGAACAATTTTAAAGTCAGAAATCATAATCCTAAACGTGGCTTATTTAACAGGGAAGTTCCAATGACATGCAAACGCATATTAAAGAGACAGAGACCATGTAACACACGAACTTTTTCCACTAGGAGTAAATACGGGATTTGTAAAAGGAAGAAGCCCCACGCCTTCCAAGAACGAACTTGTCTCGCTCTAAGTTTAGTAAAAACGTACAGTGTTTCAAAATACCCTTCGAGAGTAGAGGAAACCTAGAGGAGGGTTTTGAGAAACGTATCTCTGGAGCTATTTGTGCTGGAGAAAAGTATACTTTAAAACAAAGAAAATAGCGCGCACACAGAAGAAAACATTGCCTTTTGTAGCACAATCTCATCCGACCTCGCCAAACCTCAAGAACCTACAGACGAGGAAATGACACCTCAAAACCGACTCTTATTATCACATGGCAAAGGAAAGTCATCAAGAGTTATCCTAATAAGAGCTAAACTTTTGAGGGTAGAAGAAATAAAGTGCTAGCGAATGGTCGGCGACGTACAGGCCTATCAACACCTTTCAACAGTCGATTGCCTTTTGCTCTCTAGCTTTCTGGCGTGTCGCCTCACGAAAGGTAAACGTTTTCGTGGATTAAGTTGACCCAAGAATATGATTTAAAGCAGTTTGTAAAAGATCCGTTCAGGGAAACTCAAGTAATACCTTAGACCTGCGGTCACGACATAGTGCTGTTTAAACTCAAGTCACCCTGCCACAAAAAAACGTTAAGTTAAACGCAAAGTGTACATCAGGAAGCGATCTGACAATCAGCGTATTAAATTGGAATTAAAAGATATTGCCACGAAACTCAGCACCCAATATGATGAAAACTCGCGAGACGCAAAATGGGATGACTTTGAAAACAGTGTTCGCAGCATAATGGACTCTTGTATCCTACATAAGATGAAAAGTTCGAGGTACAGTTTACCATGGTTCAATCGCTCGCTTCGGCGACAATTCAGGGCGAAACAAAGACTATATAACAAGGCAAAGAAAACAGGGTCTGATGATTACTGGAATAAGTCTTTTGCTGCCAGGAAACGCGTCCATAGAAATCTTAAGTCTGCAAGGGAAGAGCATATCAGTAACCACCTTGGTGATGCAATCAAAGAAAACCCAAAAACGTTTTTGGTCCTACGTAAAGCCACTTAACCATGAAAATCCGGGGGGGGGGGGTTGCAGACTCTAAAGTAGACGGCAAAGTCGTAAGTGATAGTAGTCTTAAATCAGAAATCCTGCACAGCCAATTTTCAAGTGTGTTTACTAAAGAAGACCTTGAGAGCATTCCAGAAATGGGATCTGATCCCACACCTGGCTTGGGTCCTTTGATTATCTCAGAGCAGGGAGTCTTAAAACTTGTGTCTTC